ATTTGATCGGAGGCTTTTCGATTCTTAGACAGCCGAGTTGCTTGGAGAATATTTTTGAGAGAAATTTAAAAGTTATGCCTAGGGTATTCCTCTAAATTCTTTCTGTAGATTGGCAGTGTTGAAAATTTTAGGGATAGTGATATGTATGTTTTATAATACTAACGGTGATAATTTTTCCGAGGATTGACCAACGACATTTATATCGTATCATTCTGTTTCTCTTTCCTTTCATTTTACTTTTAACGTCTTCTTTGAACAGTGAGTACCTACCTTCTTGAGCACAATCTAATATTGTATTGTTTAAATATATTAGAAAACTAAAATTATGGATAAAAAGAAGAAACCCAGTCGTGCATTTAAACACAAACAACGCCAAGAAAGAGAATATATAAAACAGAAGTTGTCCAAAATTTATAAGATTTTTTATTCTGTCTTCTGCAAGTACGTCCGGTCAAAATATTTCTATTGTTAGGTACTTAAATAATGTTATTACTGCAGTGTTGGTTGAGATTCGATATCGCAATTGGAGATACCTCCGCAGCCGATCATGTCAATGCGGATGATGTTTGCAGGACACACGGAAGAGCGGAGGTTTTGGAGCAACCACAGACTTCTTCATTTTTCGAAAATGTGTATGACAAAACTTCGTATGACTTGGGAAACTTCACGAACAAAACGTCAAATTATTGATATGGAGCCTTGCAGCTCATAGGACCTTTTCCTACAGACATCAACCAGAACAATAGGTGTTTTTCTAAATCGTACCACGTTTCGTATTCTAAATATGGGCGAGTAAATCGTTTGATTATTTGCTTCACAAAGGAATAATGTTTGGTGTACGGGAATTCGAGATTGGAAGCATTTATCAGAAAGAATAAAACAACATAGTTGTTCGAGTAGCCATTCAGAACCATGTATAAATTTTGGAAAAAAACGATACTAATACTATCGACAAGGAACTTGAAAATGAAGCTCGCAAAGAAGCAATGTATTATTTGGCTTTGGGAGGACATCAAGAAGACCTAAGTCAGGAAGGATACCACGGAAATGTTCAGTCCTTTTAAAGCTTTTCGCCCGATATGATCATATATTGCGGCAAATTCATGCACAGTGCATTGAACAACGTCAAAGCAGCCAAAACTTCACAAAAATGCGACCTTCAATTTGGGTGAGGCAAGTAAAGTTTTAGCAGAGGCCAAAGCAAAGTTGAAAATGTATAGAAATGATATTGAATTAGTGCAAAGCCAGTGAAACTGCAAGAAAATTAGGTATTGATACCCATTTTCAAGATAAAAGGCAAAGAAAAGTTAAAAAAAAAAAACATTTTAATTAATTAGCTGATGATCATTGTTTTCTAAACCGAGAAAAAAGATTTAAAATTTATATTTTCAATAATTGCGCAGACACACTAATATTTTAATAGTTTTATTGGCACGAGTGCGGTCTGTCATATCTTCGATTTTTTAACACTAACATTTTTATTAATTCATTCAGATATAATAGGCCCTATTTTGTTATTTCCATTTATTAATTTTACCTCGACTAACTCAACCATGGACTGTTCACAAAATATGTAAGGAAATACGTACGTTAGAATGTGACAATTCCTCTCATTTCTGCAGCAGCTGAAAGATAATTTAGCAAATGAAAAATAATAAAAAATTATTTAAGAGATAATATTCGCTAAATTCGACTCCGCCATTTATAGCTAATAGAAATTAGAAACAAAAACGGATTAAGCCTGAATATAAACGAAGTCCTTGATACTTTTGCCAAAACTAAAGTTAAGAAAAAAGTTTAAGTATAATTTTTATTTAGTCAGTTGATTGCCCCGACCTTTATATAATAAACCCTTGAATCTACACCAAGTATTAATTGTAATTTATCTTGTTACTGATTAATATTTTTATTACCTGCCCCACAGTGCACATAAAAGAGCTTAAGTAGCTTCGCATTTTTAAAATATTTGTATCTTTCATATTTTTGTTTGATAAAACCTAATAAGTTTACATAGCAGTGCCCGAGGGCTCTTGGTTACCTAGATACGCCACTGCTGGTGGAATCTAGATATTTCGAGCCCCGGCGAAGTCGATCATCCTCAACCCATTTGGGAATGTTTCCTCATGGAGGCTGTATTTACCGACAGTTGTGCCAAAGATACCTTCCTTGCCCTGGCGTGAAAGTCGCCAAGCACAATTTAGACATCGTGGCGGAATCAGCAATATGTTGAATAACTTCGCTTTGATAGACGTTTAACCACCAGCGTGAATGACAGTATTTGGCGACGAAAACTCTCTTCCACCACGAATCCCACACCGAATTTGCTTTCCTTTATATGGATATTGTTTAAATGCCACAGGGGCCTACTTGCCTCAGTCCTTGTCCCGTTCAAGAAATGGGAACGCAACGCAAAACCTTGTGGAGGGGATGTTTCGCCTTCTCACTTGAGCTCTCCTTCAAACGGATATTCTTTGGATACCCAGAGGATATTTGGTCTAAGACCGGAAGTGGTGAACTGCCTGAGCTATATGTAAAATAATTATTTCTGGCCACTCCTACTTCTACACGTGACTCCATTCCCCATCCTTAGGGTGATTCAGTCGTTCGAAAAAATAAAACAAAATTCACTGAAGGAGCTAAAGGCCACCACAAAAAGTGTTTCGAGGACTGGAAAAATCGTTGGAATAAGTGTATTACATTCTGGTGGGATCACTTTGGAGGCTACAAAATATATATTGATGAATGATGAAGTAAATATTTGGGATTTTATTTATAATTTCCGTGTACTGTTTTGTTACAATGTACAAGGGCTTTCCAAAGTAAACAGGACTTTTTGAATTTAGCGCCCTTGGTGGCACCCTCTATATCGATGCGTTAGAATCTGCTATCTTTATTGATTGTCCAGTGCGAATTGTACGACATTTCATGGATTGGAAGTGAAGTTATTGCGTTTTATGTGTCAGTATGTTTGTGTTATCGGTGTGAGAATGAGCTTCGAACAAAGAGCCAACATTAAATTTTGTATTAAAATTGGAAAAATTTTAGCGAAACGTTTCAATTGATTTGATAAGTTTATGGCTTCAACGTTTGCAAAGTGGTAGTGAGGACATAAATGATAATCAACATGTGGGCCAATCAAAATCCGGGATCACAGGAAATTCCTGTGCATGAATTCATTAAATATCAGCTGAAATCATCACTGAAATTCATAGAAATGGAATTAAACATCTCCAAAACATCGATTTATCGCATTTTGACCGAACATTTGGGCTTACGAAAGGTGTGTTCAGAGTTTGTTCCGCAAAAATTGACTGACGGCCATAAATTACTCAGAATCCAAAATTCCAGGGACGATTTTTTGACTTCTGCCTTTTAGGCAAAATGCATTTGCCCATTAAAGGAAAGCGTTATGCAGACGTAGACGCCATTCAAAAGGCTTACACCTTCATACTGGCGTCCATACCGACCAACGAGCTAAAACACTCGTTCTACGAGCGTTTGAACCGTGCAAAAAGCTGTATTGAAGTAAAAGGAGACTATTTTGAGGAAAATAAATTGATTTTGCCGAAAAAACCATTTGTTCTGATTTTTTTAAAGTCCTGTTTACTTTGGAACCCACCTTGTATAAATAAACCTTATTGTCTGAGCCATTTTATCTTTGATATCAATGTGTACTTATTACTAAAATTGATAAATTTCTTGAAATCTAGAAAAGAAACTAATGCATTTGATCTTGAATAATCATATCACAAATGATTGGTGATACTGAAAACTGCTTTAAATCGCCAATGAAATTTATTTTTTGTTATTTTAATAATTTCGTGATTTGTGAGGACTCGGCGCATATATTAGTACCATTTAGTTTATTCTTCTTCTTAATTGGCGTAGACACCGTTACGCGATTGTAGCCGAGTTAACAACAGCGCGCCAGTAGTTTTTTGTTTTCGCTACGTGGCGTCTATTATATATTCCAAGCGTAGCCAGGTCCTTCTCCACCTGGTCTTTCCAAAGGATTGGCGGTATTGACATTCTTCTGCTTCCTCCGGCCGAATACTTTTAGAGCTGGATTGTCTTCGCCGTGGCCAACGCCCAAAGGACCATAAATCTTTCGCAGCACTTTTCTCTCGAAAACTCGCAATGTCGACTCATTAGTTGTTGACATCGTCATCGGCATACGCCAGCAGCTGTACACTCTTATAAAAGATTGTACCTGCTCGATTAAGTTCTGCAACTGGAATTATCTCCAGCAGCAGGTTGAAAAAGTCTCACGATAGTGAGTCGCCTTGTCTGAAACCTCGTTTAATATCGAACGGTTCGGAGAGGTCCTTCCCGATTCTGACGGAGCTTTTGGTGCTGGTCAACGCCAGCTTACACAGCCGTATAAGTTTTGCGAGGATATAAAAGACAAAGAGGTGGTGTGTGTCTATTTTCTTTTCACGGGTCTTTTCTAAAATTTGACGTATGGTGAATATCTGGTCGGTTGCTGACTTTCCAGGGCTAAAGCCACACTGATAAGGACCAATCAGTTTGTTGACGGTGAGCTTTAATATTTCACACAATACACTCGAAAGAACCTTATATGCGATGTTGAGAAGGCTAATTCCACGGTAGTTGGCGCAGATCGAGGGGTCTCCTTTTTTGTGGATTGGGCATAGCACACTTAAATTCCAATCGTTGGGCACGCTTTCGTCTGACCATATCTTACAAAGAAGCTGATGCATGCTCCTTATCAGTTCTTCGCCGCCGTGTTTGAATAGCTCGGCACTATTTTACGATTTATCTACCAAAATAACTCTAATGAACAAGTTCAGTTGATCATAAATCATCACATACTTAATTCAAGGAACTGCTTTTATAATTTCACTGTTAATAAGAAAACGCAAAGTAGTGTCGGGCGTTCAAATATATTTATTAGCCGTTAAAATAACATTACCATAAATATTATAAGTATAGTTAGATTACGGATATAAAATATAAGTGGATGTTTAATAGATTATAATTAACAAAAACTCATTTTTGTATGTATTTATGTGGGAACGAACAAATGACAGACTAGAAGTGGACGAACGTACGGACAGTAACATGCAACATTGATCGGAATAGACAACGAGTAGCGACGAAGAAACGGGTAACGAAGACTTTGAAAAACGACAGTCATTCGATTCGCGGACGAACACGGTGCCAGTTGATACTAAAACTAAAACATAGAACATTTTTGTGTAAAATAAAATAAGAACAATTTTTGTAAAATACACACGTTTCTTGTAATAAATGCGAATCCACCCCTACAATTATCCGAACATTGGCCCGACATGGTTCTATCGTTTTTCTGGTTGCCTTGTGTTTGCAACTATTGTCTCTCAGGGAACGATCTGTTTTTTCCTGTTATTCATTTCGCCGGTAGAATTTTTTATGCGATTTGTGAACACTGCAGAAGGGTGAAAAAAAATATTTACCGTTAAAGCTTTATTTCTTGTAGGACAACTCTTATTATGGTCCACACTAATAATGCGCTATTTCTCTTTCTCCATTATTTCTATTCTTTCTTTATTATTATTAATTATTATTTCCTGTGAACTCAATTTCCTTCTGACGATTTCCGTTTCCTCTCAGCAAGTGCGCATGTCCAAAGTCACATCCAATCGCACAAGTAATTTGAGTGAATTAAATTGAGTGAAATTTGAAATCCTCAGTATTTGGAATGTGAGCAGTAGTGACTATATTACTACATTATATTGTAAAGTTAAAATAATATGTTATGAACATAAAATTAGAAGCAAGATAGAAAGGCCTAAGTTCGTTTGTAATCAAACTTTTCAACTTTCGCAATTTGCAGGGGCTGAAAACGGTGATGACAAAACTTTATATTAAACAATTTAGCAAATGAATTTCGTTTTCGTTATTCGACGAATAAGAGAATAAATAAATATAATATATTATATTTGGTATAATAATAACTAAAAATATATATCATGTGCTCACATTGTCTGTTTACTAAATTTTTTTGCCGAGATAATTATACAAGATTCACATATGTACATTAATCTAACTAGCACATATGCCGATCAACTGAATATGTTCACATAATTTACCTTGCATTTTCATGAATTGTTCATACATATGGAACACAAACGTTTAATATTTCCATGGAATTATACTGGTGTATCAATCGGAAATATAATATACTTTGTATATTTTTTTTCTTAATTTTTAAGGAAACGGAGTAGAATACAGCAAAAATATTAAAGACGGTGTAAAACATGCGATCACTGCGTCAGACAGTGGTCACACTGTACGGACTGCGAGAAATTCTCCTTTCTCAGCATCCAAAGTCAAAGGAATTTGTGGTGTTAAAATCAGTTTGTTAACTGTAAAGCTTGTGATTTTATTGTGATATTGCTTAAACTAAAAAAAAACACCATTAAATGATACACGGAAAACTTCATGACTGCAACTTTCAGGCAAGCACATGAGCTGGACAAAGAAATGGAACAACTGGATCTTTTCCGATAAAAAGAAATTTAACTTAGACGGCCCATATGGGTACAACTATTTCTATCACGATCTACGAAAAGAAGAGGTCGAGTTATTAGCACAAACATATTTAACATATCATTTGAAGAGGTTGCTAATATGATTTTAGCTTTCACGAATTTGATTTGATTCTTGCAAGTTGCAAGAGTATATAGTAGCCTCTTCGTTACAAATTTTTATTCGAAATTTTTATCACGAAAGCTGAAAGTAGTTGAGACTTGATAAGAAAATGAATCTACGAAAATTTCACGTCTCTCGGACCACGCCTTATAGTGCCGATAGAAAATTGTATTGTTAATGCACGTCACTCATACCCCAATGGTACATTCGCTGAATTATGTATGATACATTACACAAAATTATAATTATTTACAACTTTTAAAAGTTTGTTTTGAACAATTCGGATACATTTTCCTTTGTTCTTGTATGCATTGMAAAATATAACCCCAATCACTTTCATTTTTGGGTAGTAATCCATGGTAATCTTGCATTAGTTTTACGGCTCTTTCTGCAGTGTCGTTAACTACTTTTAGAGAGTTTATTATTTTTTTGCCATCCATATATGAAGCCTTCGTCTGCCATGTTTCTGGGTTCAAATCCAAGAAGCTGGTATCTATCTGCAGCCTTGAAAACAATTTGAGACTGTTGGAAGTTATGAAATGCTCCATGGTCCCGTCTGTAAGTCAATAATTTAAGAATAAAATAAAAATTTAAGCGTATTATTCTCATATTATACCTAACAATTGTCCCATGTCTTGTGAACTTAGAGTAAGCTTTTTGCATCCATCGCATCTGCCGGGTTTTTTAAGAGCACTGACCATTTTGACTTTTGTCTCTACTGATAGTCTGTCATCAAAAAAGGCTAAAGCGGCTGCTTCCTCTGTTAGACAATTTTCGCAGTGCAGCATCGCTGGTTTTTTTTACAGCATTTATCTGCAATGTCATCGATTACATCGTTAATGCTTTCACGGCAGTGTTCATCCTCCGTACCACTTTGATATTTTTCTCTGTCAAGCTTTGACCAAGATTTTTTAAATTCTTTAAATAACGGAATATCGGGGCTTGATGTGAAGTGTGGAAGTTTAGCTTCAAACACTCCTCTCAGTACTATCTCAAATATATGGTGTCGACAAGGGAGATAAAGCAGCTCTCTATCAAGCATTTGCTCTAAGAGCACACAGGCACCACTCAATCGGCCAGTGTTTGCAGCTGTAGTGTCACAGCATAATGCCTGCACTTTCTCCGATACATTCCACTCCTCCAACGCATTATATACTGCTATTGCTTGTTCTTTGCCCGTTGAATTTGGCAGTTTTGAAACGGCAAGAAGTTGGTCATGGTCCATTCCTGAAACAACTATTGGCAACCGCTCAGCATTCTTATCATGGACATCTTGATTATAAAATGTATGTTATTTTTAGATACCTGCCTCTAATCTTTGTAAATAAAATCAAATTTGTACTTATTTAATGATGGCAGCATCTTACCATCCCAATGCACAACAAGGAATGGCKGAAGTGATGATTTAAACTTCTCTTTAATCAGCTCAGCTTGCACAGAGCGCAGGTGTTTTCTTTGATGATAAATTGACGTTTGAGTTATAACCAGGTCGTCAACATTGTGGCCAAGAGCTTCTGCAGCCGCTTGTAATATATAAACTGCATTCCGTACACTTACTTGGCATCGATCTAGGACAGAAACTAATTTTGCTGTTATAAAATGTTTTTGGCCTCTCTTGACTACTCTCGATTTCATCAATCATCAGAAATACTGCTAAATGATATTTCTCCCGGTTGAATTTTTTGTTCAGCAATATTTCGCTCCCGACGTTCTTCTTCATCATTCCTTCTTTTTTGGCTTTTTTTCTCTGCTTGACATAAATTAAAATCGACTGATCCAAGGTAACCAACACGACCCTGCTGTCTTTGTCCGAGAAGAAAAAGCCTATCTTCTTCAACCTTTACGAGTTTCATAACATCTGCATGCGCAACATCAAATAAATTGTCCAAATTTTTAACAAAAGCTTTTTCTTTTTCACAGTAAGAATCACCGGACTTTTTATTATTTTTCTGCAGAAAACGCCACTCGTCATAAAATTTTTGCAATTTTTTAGCGCAATGGTGCTTTTCTTTTGTGGGCAAACGAGCCTTTTCCCAAAATATTAGTACTTCTCGAATTACAAGATTTTCACTTTCACACACAGATAACTTTACTACACGAATATTAAAAAAAAGTACCTGTAGCACTTGTTTATTTGATGGTGGTTTCGAGCCCAGAATACTCAAGTTGATCSAACCAACCAAAAATATTTTATTTTTATTTCTTAAATCCATTTCACTTCAAATCACTCTTTCTTGCTTGTAAATATAAACAGAATGAGCTCACCGTAAAATGAGAAACGAAAAAAAGCATTGACGCCGAGACGGTGTAACRGTACTATCTTGCTCATCAAAGAATCATAGTGCAAACAATACCAAAACAATAACGTAAGTGTTAGCAAAAGGCGTCTAGACGAAACGGTAAGTTGTCATCAATCGAGAAATAGTGTTTTTGGAAATTGATTTTAATAAAAAAAAAAAATGTTTTCTTAATTCAATGCATTGATAATTTGATATAGTAAGAGACGAAATAAACTCGAATGAAGCAATATAAAATAATAATTTGTGAAATGTAAATRATTTTTTGTAATGTATCATACATAATTCAGCGAATGTACCATTGGGGTATGAGTGACGTGCAATTAATAATACAATTTTCTRTCGGCACTATAAGGCGTGGTCCGAGAAGCGTGAAATTTTCGTAGATTCATTTTCCTATCAAGTCTCAACTATTTTCAGCTTTCGTGACAAAAATTTCGAATAAAATAATTTTCCTATACAAAGTAAGAACAGCCTAGTATATAGTGGTCGGATCTGATTCCGAACTTAGCCCTTTCTTACTTGTTATAAATATTTATTTGAAGCACACGAAATGTTCCGGCTCAAGATCCTGTGACATACACACTTTCTATCAATCTGTATTACTTCGAGAATCACTTATCGCTAAATTACCTAACTGTGAGAATTATATTGCCATATGTTCACAACACTTCAGCTTATCTAATGTTCACATTCGCTATGCTGATAAAATCATTTCCCTACACATGTTAAGTATGTATGTATGAGCGAATTGTCGGGCACAGAACTTTTTGTCAACTTAAATTGTCGATGGCTTTCTTATCATTTAACATACTGGGGAATGCAAATTGAGTGAATTCCGCGTTTTAGTGAGGCGCGTTCGAGCACTTTGAGAGAGCACTTGAGTTCTGCTCAATGTCGCTTGGGTGGTGGAATGAAAACTATGTAGTATACACACATATACAACCATTTCGTGCCTAACTTTACTATCAGCGCGGTAATCAGACATCCCTTGTTCTAATGGAGAATGCCAACTGCTGTGCCAAAGCTTATCACCCAGCCCGGAACTGCTTCATTTCTGTGAGGTTGAATTGGTTTGTTTACTTCACAAAAATTTTAGTATCAAACTCGGCACCTTGGTAGAACATCGCATCGGTAGTTTTTCTGAAATCAAATTGTGTGTTTTAGAGCTTTTTGACTTGTTTCGAAATATTTCGTTGCCATTTGACGCAAACCGCTACCTTTTCATTTTCATTTAAACTGTTATGTAAGTACAAGTATTAGCAACCTTGCATGTAGAATATTTTACGGACGGGTAAGTAGTGTTGACATATTTTGAAGTTTTTACGAGGATGAGTTGTTTGAAATGTTTACTTAAGTGCTACAAAGTGGCAAATTGTGTATGACAAAAGTGACAAATCATCATTTTCTAATAAGTGGTAATTTTTTCAAATATATAATAACTGAAATCATTAAAATGCTTACGTATCTCAGTTTGCAGGTGATAAATTCAAAATATAAGTGCATAAACGCACATTTCAAAGTTCGAGAAAGTAAGCAATTTAACGGTATTGATTTACTTATATATAACTCACTGATATTATTGGTAATATAAGTGCAAACGTAGATATTGTTTTTTTATAATAATTTATTTAATTTGCGACAAAACCGAAAAATCCAATGAAAAATCGCAAACTTCAAAATCAGCTGTTCGACCTGCACTTTTGAAAGTGATCACTATTTTCTTAATTAATTTGTTAATATTGATTCGCTCAAATCTAAACGAATTTTTTGCTGTCAACTTTTCAATTAGGTTTCGATCATACTGATTTTGCTGTGCTAAAAGGAATTATTTTGTTCAGCAGAAGTTTTAACTTCTTATCTGTGTCAACTCTCAATTTGCGCTCCCAACTTCTGTTACTTTGCTGAGTATTTTGAACGCTGTCTGATCACCAATTAATTGCTAATTATCGTCAAAGTGTATTGATGTGTATTATTCCATCGGGTCGATTTAAAAATTACTCAATTAAATTAAGAATTAAAGAGAATATAAATAATATGAACAATTAGTGCCGCTATTACGGTTTGCAACTCGGCTCAGTTGCCTTAAAATTGGGACAGTTGAACTTCAGAACATCCAAACTCCTTTTGATTTTACGATCTACAACAAAGTACAGTTGAAATTGCCAACCAAAAGTTGAGAATTGACAGATAATTGGGTTACAAATTTTAGTGATAGTGAAGTGGTGTATGTGATAAAAAAATTTTGGAACTCAATTAATAATCAGGACCCCTCCAATACCCCACAAGGCCTTTTAGAAACCAGTCGAAAATTTCTCTTTCACCTTTGTTGAGTAGTGTAATCAAAAGTTTAACAGCTGGAAACTTTTAAACGAAAAATTAATTCGATTCAGTTATTTCTCATGAAAAGGTGAATAAATAATAAAATTGAAAAATGTTATAATTTATATTGAAGGAAATCTCGTCAAATGTGTGGAAGGATCGAAAGAATCCTAGGTATGCTTATAAAAATTATGCGTAACTCTCCATGTTTTTAGTCGACGGTAGTTATAAATGATGCAAGCGAAATGTTTTTACGTTGGACTAGCGTAACCTAAGATCTCCGTACGCAGAGAGCATAATATTTCTATTTTCCATATAATACAATTTTAAATTCCATATGATTATTTTACTTTCCAATGCACATATCAAGCACCAATGAATACATAATTATATACTCAAATAAAAGATCGCAAAAATTGTACTTCTGACGTATGACATGGACTAAAAATTGTAAAAATCAGATCGTTACTCTTAAAGAAACCACATTGAATATGGGGACCACTGGCTCTTTTCGCTATTTCGCTACATTTTTTTGCACTTGTAACATTTTGCTACAGAGTATAATAGTTTTCTTCACTTAACGGTTGTTTGTTTCACCTAAAAATAACCGTTAGAAATAGGGATATACATACATATGCACATACATATAAATGTCAAGGGACTGTCTGTCTTTACGTACTAAATAAATAAACTCTTGAAGGTTTCTGGTATCAGTCCTCCAGGCTCTTGCCTGCTCTTGTAAACAAAAAAGTTGATAATACTTCAACTGATCGTTTTTTGTTGACGTTGTTTTAAATGGAGTTGGTTTGTAAGTAGGGAATCGAAGTTTTTTTTCTGATAAGCATGTTGGTATGATATTAATGATTGGAAACAGATGATTTGATTAAAACTTCCTTGTTAAAAATTTACTCCATTTAATCCAATTAAAATTATTTCAAGCTTTTTAGACGTCTTGTCCTCAACCAGGACGATGACTCGTGGAGTAGAGCCAGACCCCGATAAGTAATATGGTGGTATTCAATATTTATGAACGCATCCCCAAATATTTTATTTTGAAAACTTGTTCTTTTTATTATGAAAGAAATTTGACTAAACTTTTACGGAGTCATGAGTGTTGAGCACATCGCAGGCAAAGTGGTATTGTGCAATTCGGAAACCACTAACAACCAACGCGACCACAACAAATATACAACCGCATACACCCTCTTGCTATGTCCAAGTCTGGCGATATACTATCCGAACTACAAGTTATTTCAGTATGATTGTTTGTTGGGGTGAAATTATGTATTATATAATAGGTAGTGGCTGTCAAGAAAACAATTTTAATATTTTTATTAAAAAGTAATTATGTTATTACTCGGTTATGCAAGTATTTTTTTCGAACAGCGTGCTTTCATGTGCTCTAAAGTATTGACCCATCTGGAAACAATACTTTACCTTCCTTGTGTACTATTGGTGAATTCGGTTTTTCCATGTAATAAAGCCTTCTTGAGCAGCTGAAGGAACTTTTAATTTTGTACCAATCGACTGACTTTAATAGCAAAATGTCTGATACACGTCTTTCACTAATATTAAAGTATATATACATACATATGTATGCATTTAAACATATCAAGTGTTAGTTTTCATTTAATTTGCCGACTTAATACAAGCACTTCAAATGCCATGTCCTTATACAGATTCAATCAATGCTCTTTTATTTATTAATTCTTTTTCACTCCGTCTTCCTCACCAATCTGTTACATTTCGATCAGCCATGCACGTGATTGCTGACCACATTGCAATCTCCCATACCCACACGCATACATGTGCAATACTCATAAAGTCTTAAAGCCCCTAAGAGAACTGTGACATTTATTTTACCCGTGATTCGACAGCCTCAGCTAAAAAAATTTGGTATTACTTGGAATAAAGTTTCTATCATTTTCTTAAAGGTAGTGTGCCAATACTGATGTACAGGCACGTCTAAATGTGTGACTTTCTCTTTTTAACACATCGGTATTTGGAAAGAAGTTAACAATATATATGTATCTATACTGCTCGCTCTCATATTTGGTACATGTCATCACGGTGTTAAGAAAATATTATATACCGAATTTCATTGAAATCGGTTGAGTACTTCCTGAGATATGGTTTTTGGTCCATAAGTGGGCGACGCCACGCCCATTTTCAATTTAATAAAAAACCTGGACGCAGCTTCCTTCTGACATTTCTTCCGTAAAATTTAGTGTTTCTGA